AGCAGTCTAGATTGGTATCGCTCCTCAAAAATCAGCCATACCGACAGGGAATAGAAATCTTGACAAATAAAAACAAAAATTGACATTACAATTTAAACAAATCATATCAAATTAGTGTATGTGTGACATCGAGCTGTGTGGGAAATGCTTTTCAATATTTCATGAACAGATTGGAGTTGTTTTGTTTTTTCAATTGAAATCTATCTTATCTAAATTTAAAGCTCATTAAAAGCTAAAGTTATTCTAAATGTCAGTAGATAGAATAAAATAACGAGAATTCATGATGTATTATTTAGTGTATTGTAAAATATACATCTAAGATTTCAAAACACAAAATTCAGACATCTTGTAGGATTAATTGTTTAGTTTATTATTGTATATAGAAAAATGTACAGAATTTGAGGTTTTAAACTTTTAAATGTAAAACATGCCGTTATTTACATGAGGAAATTAAATACTAATTGCAGTCGTATTTAAAGGTGACTGGAAATTCTCAAGAAGAAAAACTCCTTTGTTATCCTATTAGTTCGGCCTTGAGAGTAAGTTAAATCCTTTTAGCGTTGAATGGGTAAATAGATTGAGCCTTGCAAGTGAGGCATGGGATACTTTGCCTCAGCTTATTCTAATGAATCGAAATCGACCAAATCAACATAGCGTTGAAAGAAAATGACACACATTTACTCTTGTTTTGGAATATAAACGTGCAAAAATTCTAAGCGGAGAGGAAATTATCAATTTTATCTTAACTGTTTTATGTCTTTTTTTCAAATATCTATAAAGCGTTAAAACCATTAATGTATTTCAAAAATAAATATTATGAATATCTAAAACACTTGTTATTTCGAAGAGTTCACCACTACACATTATAGCCAACATTAACAATCCTCCTTCTTTTAAGATAGCCGGACAATCAAATCTAGACTTATTGAAGAATGACAGCAAAGCGATGTGTAATCTTATTGACTTGATGGTAACAACGGATTCCGATTTTCTGTACGAACGATGTTTTATAGTTGTGACATGACCATTTGAAAAGGGACTTCATATTGATTTGAAGCAAATTCATGTCATATTTGAAAATAAATCATAAACCGAAAACAAATGGGTCAAGTTATAAGGTGCGTTAATATGTTGAACTCGTTCATAGAATTCGTAATAGGTGATCTTCTCCAGAATCTAGAACTTCAATTATCTTTATTAAAGGAATGATATTTTTTTGTTTTTGAAGGAATGATAATTTCCATCAACATAATTCCGTTACAATAGTATTAAGTTAATAAGTAATGTTAATAATATTGTGATAATGTTATGCATAAAAATGAATAATTTATCATGTACATAGTACGTTGCAAAACTTAACCGCAAGTGCATTTCTCAGCAAGTGTGAAATACAGAGACTAAATGCCTCTTTTGGGGTTTGAATTAACAATCTTAGACTTTGCAGTCAGACTCGCTATCGTTCATCCCCCTCCCACACACACAATATTTTTTTCCTTGCCATACGATTTGTGCACTATATATGCCCTTAACATTTGTTTACTGAAATCGACATGATATTCAAAGTATTGCCAAGAAAGTAACCTCTCCTCCGGTGAAACAGCGTTTTGTATATATGATTAAAGTAAAAGTTGATAGATGCCACTTCATCTGATATCGTCGGGAAAATCAAACTAGCATTTAACTAGAAAACTCGGTAGTTTAAAAACAAGACATATCACAAATATGATGCCGTCAGAATATATAGTATATTAAGACAAGAGATTGGTACCAAAGCAAATATAAATTACATGTTTTATTTTAAATATATTAATGTATAATAAGAGTTTTGTCTTTAATATCGTTGTAAATTGTGTCTAATAGAAAACGATCGAGAAATATCAATTTCACTGATCTTTTGTTATTTTCATGTTATTCTGTAGAATGTTCTGAATTTTCTTAATATATTACAAACATGCTAAATAATCCCTTAAAGGGGAGGATAACTTCCCCGATGCAATTTTATTCGATTCATGACAACACAAAATCCATACATAGCTTGATTAAATGTTTGTTTCTATATCAAACTCTAATTAAAAATAAGTGTGAGATTTCTTACATAAAATGTCATTTACACATGTTACATCAATACGAAATAACTGTGGCATGATCCCAAATATTTCGATTAACAATTTGTATGAAATGTGAATCCTTCGCCATTTGTATGTTAAAAAGTCATTGTTTTTAAATTGCGTGTCTTTACACGTATATCATTGTGATAATTCCATATTAATTGTTGACATTTGATAAGGTCAATATGGTTTAGTATCAACCTTGCAGAAAACTTTTGACCAAGGGCGAACACTATATTGACCGAAATAAAGCGTTCTTTACTCTTACATTCCATATGAACAGGTAAATTGATTATTGCTTTGAATATATTCTTTTTTAAATCGTCTCATCCTAGATGGAAAATCAAGACGAATATTTAACGAACAAATGCAGCGAAACCTTCTAAAGCATTTTAACAATTAAAATATCTGAATTGATATATCACAACTTAATCTTTCAGACACATATCATATTCCGATTGGTCCGAATGATCCGGATTTTCTGAATTTAGAAACACGGAGTCTCTATGGTCTCGCCAACACGTGGTGATCTTTTATCCAATCATATCCTAAGGAAATCTAAACACATGTAATATTAGAAAGTAATAATAATTAAATGCGAAATAATCAGGCAATATTTTCAGAACGCAATAAATCATATTTATAACATGTCCAAAGTTTATCATCAATAGGTAAATAGATCATTGTAAGAGAAGTACTTAGTGGTGATCAAAGGTTAGCCTCAGCGGTAAAGTATTGGCGGTAATAGGTCACATAAATCGTGTGGTGTGAAATAGTATCTTAGGCTAGACGGTACGCACCAACTATTGGCAGGGTACATTATACCAATGTGATGAAGACGTCTTAAAGAGTCGAGCAAGCTTGATCTCATCGAGATTGATGATACATACATTTTCAATTGCTTACAAACAAATTGTAAAGTCTTTTATTGACAAACGAAAGAAATTAAACAAAGTTCAAATATAGATGTATATATGCCTTATTAATTTATCGTGAAATATAAAAAAATATGATCAAATAAAATGAATTTATGGTAAATATTGATATAACGTTGTAAGATAACAAGCCATTGCTAATCAGTTCAATACCAAAGTGCACATGATCTTAAAAATAATAGAAGAACCAAAATAGAAATATATATGTACTGTTGTTGAGGAGTTATCCATAATTTATGATGTACGTTCCCCACATACAATTTAATTCCATATGAATCTGTATTTGTCGGTTCCAATGATTACACTGAAGAAGCGCCAAATATCATAATTAACAAACACACTCCTCTCGACATAAATATCAAACACTGAAAGCAAACTACACTAAGACATGTTACTGAACGAGTAAATAAAGATAGATATGATGTAAAATATTCTAATTAGTTGCGTTCAAAAACTGCAAAACGTATACATCAATCAATTTATCAATCTAAGTAAAAATGAAAATGAAAGTACTTATCATTTTAAGGCATGGTTCTGCTATTATTTGATAATGAGTTTGAACTAAAGTTTTTATGAAGGGCTGATATCTTGTATAAACGTTATACCAATAAGTTTTAGTTACAAAATTTAACTAATAATTACTAAAATATTGGAAAGATTAAAAGACTAAAGATTGCTCCCATGTACTACTGTATCTAAACATTATTTTCGTTTTGTTGACATAATGGTCACTTTTTTGTACTCGTGTGTCTATAGAAATATGCTTTCAATTATTCAACAGATAGTAAACCATAACACTATTTTCTTTCTATTTTTTATAGAAATATTTTTTCTTAAATGTCTTTATTCTAAATTATCACAGGTTTGAGATCAATTTCATCTGAAGTTGCATAAATTCCTTAAAAAACGTACATTTCCAGGGAAAGGCTACATTCAAGATGCCATTTTTATCTTTTTATTTCTAGTTTTATGTATAATAAAACCGTATACATTATCCTTGATATCTTGAAACTATTTCATAACGCTTCAGTTTAGCATTTAAAAAGCACATGGTGGAAATACGGACAACATTATCATAGTCCTTGCTTAAAGTGGTTTAAATATTTCATTTTATTCGTCATTAGTTCCGAGATATTGACAAACGAATTCAATATATTTATATTTTATCTGAATGTCATTCAATTGTTTAAAGAAAGTTTAGACATCTATAAAAAATGGAAAAAATATTAAACAATTAAACATGAATATAGAGAGATATGCAGTCATATCAATCTGTGATATTCTGATATCCACTATAACGATTGCTCAAATCACATTTTACTTACTACAAATTTGCATTGCATTGCATCTCACAATATCAAAAGATTTTCCCTTTTTTTCTTTGTATGTTTTAAGAATAGTAGTTTATTTCAATAAATGCCAACTCTAATTTTAAAACATTTGAAATATATCTTGAATTTAGAATTCATCAATTATGATAAGCCAAAGTTTTACTTATCATATGTGAGTCTTATTTACAAACAGGTCGATTGATAACCTCAACGAAGAAGCAGTGACATTAAAAATATAATTCTTCACCCCCAAAAGTGCCTTTGACATGTCTGGCGAAATCATTTGTGGTTTCTGTGTATGCGCGTCAAATTACAGAGTAAACAGAAAAAAATGGATGGCGTCGGGGCGGGGAACTATTTAATATAAGACCCACCTCCATTTGTCAAGAAAGCAAGCACTTGGCTCGTGTAAAGATATATCGCTCATACTGGACACTGAGAGTCATCACCGCAGGGAAGGGAGAACCGCACCTGCCGAGCAGTGAGGTTTGTTGGCTGTATTAGTATTTACGGTCGACGGCTTATACGAATGTACACTGTTTGCTAAAGTGTCGATATCCTCTCACTCGTTTAAAATCGATAGAACATCACGGCTCCCCATATCAGCAGTGGCCCATGGAAATAGAATGGACAAGAAGAACAAGTGTCAAGATAGAGGGGATACGCTGTCGTCTTCAATTTCTTCAAAAGAGAAAGACGACAACGAGCATATGGATGAATCAGATGAAAGATCTCAATCACCAATTTTAATTACACATCACCAGGAACAACATCAACAACAACACCAACAACAAAGTTGCGTAAAACAACATGTTAATTCTTCGGGAACAACTAAAGTACGACCTAGTCTTTCATTTGGAATCAGTAGAATTTTAGACAATGATTCTAATTCAGATTCGGACTTTCAGTCAGGTGGTGAGGACAACGGGCCTTGTGATGGCCGTTCGAGACGTGAAAACGTCACACCGGACAAACATTGTTTATCTGTGAAAACACCCCCAAATGACGATGACAAACCATTCATACAAGTTCCTAAACTTACACCAGAATTGTTTGCATCTGTATCAAATGGTTACCATGGATTCCACGTGCCTCTGGCGGTACCTATTCACCGACCCCACCCCGTTTTTCCAACTATGACGTCATATACACTACCAGGATGGCTCGACCTACGACGGGACAGATTTGGTGGTAAGCTGTCATCAGCATTGCTTTAAATTAATTTTAAAGTGTAAATTGGTAATTCGTTAACACAACGGAAATATATATATATGATGTTGACCCAGCAAATAAGTCTGACATAGTCATTGTTTTAAAAGTGGCAGCAAAGGCATTTCTTGAAAAAGTTTATGCAAAATCAAATTGTAAAAAGAATCAGAATGTCAATAATTGATGTTTGTCAATTGTTGAAATAAATGTATTTTATTTTAAAATATGTACTTCAGAGAAATAGTGAAAAATGTGTGACCACTATAGTTTTATACATATTGACAACACATTTGTTTTCTTTCTTTCTTGTTTTATTTTATTTATTTTTTATACTGTAATGATTTTCCTTTTATTTTTGAGAGGCAAGACAATCTTCGTGTTATTTTCTGCTGTCTGTACAACATTTTTTGTGTCTTTTTTTAATGTGCACTGATATAATTTATTGGTCAATCAAAAGCCTCTTCTTCCTGGCTAACACATAACTTAATTACGTGCAATAATACATGAAAAGAATAAATGCATAAAATCTAATGTTGATAAAAGTATTAGTTCATTATGGGGGAAAATGTTATTCTTATGTTCTAAGTGCATTTAAGTTTGATAAAGAATATTGCTATAATATCGCGACAGGCAAATATGTTAACAGCACGCGTAATCTGTTTTGTTTCAAAATCACCCACAGTACGTTCTGCATCATCAGCAAGAAAATTCTATATCCTTGAAAATCTAGAATTAAAATTTTGATTATATAACACAACGAAATAGCACGTGTGATGATCACACTAAGTAAAATTTGTTCCCAATAATAAAAACATGATATATATCAATCATAGCAAAAGACAAATACGTTTTCTAATTCTAAAAACGTGTTGAAATACGACATCGTTGTTAACAAAATCTTCGATTAAACACTTGATTGAAAAAATAAATACAAGGGGGTTACTCTTTACATCGTTGTATTCAATTCTAATTAAAAACCTTTACAAATCACAAACGTAAACTCGTGACCTGGATTTTAATTCAATTCAAGGCTGATATTACCTGGAGGATGACGTTCTAACACTCTCTTCATAGCAATCAGAACGCAATAACGGTTTTATTGTAACACGTTCTTCTAATTAATTGGTTTTTGGCAGCGCTGAGCTATAAATTTTATCTCTAATTACTAAGAGATTTACACTGCTAATGATGTTTCGGTATTTGACAACTATAAAACAAAGTTACTGAGTTAGTATGATAAGTTGGAGGGAAGCAGTCGCCATGTTTACAAAGCATTGTTAGCTTTTAACACAATATATTTCTTGTAAAGAATCGAATTCCCCTTAATTGACTGCATTTTATTCTTGATATGAATCTACCAATTGTTACTTTTGACACAAACGCGTTATCAGGACCTTTTTTCATGCATATTATATATAATCAAATTTGCCAATTCAAACTACAAGATATCATCTTTGATCACGTAATAGACTTATTTATTGTAAACATTAAATGATACAATATTGATAACCATGCCTTTGTTCATTTCAAACATAGATAGAAATTCTATATGTACGATGGCCTGAAATGGCATTTGACTCTGTGATCGTAACTCAGTTTTAGAATTATAACTAGGTTTTGGTTTTGAGTGGCGGACGCATTCTTACATTTTTCTAAAGGCAACTCTCGTCAGATGTCACAATATCTACAATTATTTAAGCCTATGCTCGTGATATTTTATGATATTTTAAACAAACATGTCGGCAGAATTCAATAACTCTTTCAAAATAATTATTTCTTTGTATTTTCTATTTTCTTAATTACCTGTGATCCTAAGGATTTTACAACGTATAATTGAACACAACATTTCTATTAAAAGACATAAGAATATATTGTCAAATTGGAATTTTCGTATTATATTGCTTCTTAAAGATTACATAATCTTTCACTTATCTTTTGCAAATTTGATCGAGACTGGTTGCCGTTAAGCTATTGATGAAGGTGGTCATTCAATAAAAAAAAGTTTGTAACTAAAAACATTAATTGAAACAAGTCTTGAATATCTCGTTCTATATCTGGACTTATATCTGGTTGTGTAGAAAATGACAACGTGCTAACATTTTTGAGCCTAACATTAATCAAAATCACTAAACGAACAAATGTTTTATATACTGTTGGCAACATGAACAAAGACTTAATATTGTTTTATTATATTTATTTATTTGTCAACTTCATCACCAATTATATCATCGGTATAAGGCCACCTGCGGCACACGTCGTTCGAATTTTGTAGGTATATAAATCATATCGTTGTGCAATGATTAAGATATAGGAAAACCAAACATAACGCAACTGTATGAATGTTAAATTTCTGGAATCTAGTTCATACCGTGCCTTGCGTATTTCCGTAGTCGTTTCATTTTAACATATAATCGTGATATGGACAACATAATTTGATACACGTTACTCTTGTCCTTATCAGTTGTGTTTTGTACTTTACATAACCATAATAGTTAGATTTAAGTTCAATGATTTTTTTATGTTTTCTTGAAGTTGAACATTGTATTTAAGTTGAGACGAGATTTATTTTTCGTGCAAAGTATTTACGCTGAAAAGATGTGATAATTAAAACCCATAGTGACTGAAACTCGCACACTACAACCCGCATTTGATATTGAAAACACATAGTGTCTTATCGTTTCATGTCAAGTAAACTGCCAGGTCATGGAGCGGAGAGAAGATGCATAGGTTCTTAATTAATGGCAAAGGCTAGGAGTCATAAAATATTCAGAACCAAAGATTTATTTTAGCAAATACCCAAACTCATCGAAATCAGCTCAAACTGGCTGGTGTGTAGCGATACATTACATGTTACAAAACGTTTCTTTTTTCAGTTGAACTTATTATCAGAAGTACAATGCAGCTTTTCAGCAAAGTAAGAGACATCTTTAGTGGTTTTTATATATGTCAGATAAACCTTATATCACATTTGAATCAATATCAAATGAAGAAGTGAGATATATAACTAATTGAGATAGGGAATGAAATATGTTATATGTTAAGCAAGCCTGATACTGATACATGTATACTTTATCTTATCGATTTTAATCCTTGATATCTAAAGTTTGGTGAAAATCATATCATTTAGAAAAAAAAATGCCGACTGCATATTCTGAACACATTCCCGACAGGATTAATTATTTTAAATCTGGGGATTTATCCAGTGTTCCAGACGCAGTAACTGATTTCTTATCGATCGGAGAGAGGCAGACTCCGCTCTTTATTTATATCTAATATGTAGGTATATATACATGTATTTATGTTTTACATGTGATGTTAACGAATATATATATACATATGATTTCTACACACATCTTCTCTTTATTTTACGTATCTGTCATAACAGCGAATTGTAAACGGTTTTCTTTTTGCGCTGAAATAAGAACATTTAGTTGCCGTTTTAAATAATCGATTATATGGATATTGAACACAAATCAGGAGTCAATTACTAAAGATGCAATTGTATGGCAATAAAATATCAAAGTAAACATGCTTAGTACAGTAAACCAAATATAGCACTGACTTCAAAATTTTCTCTAAAAATGTTAATATGACAATAATGTTTACACAAGGTGCATGTTTACCTGTTTACATGAACGAGATACTGCAAAACTTGACATTTTCACTGACTTATATTTTCTTGGTTTAAACCTAATGTTTCATGCCAAAGAGCCTTTTTCACGAAAGTTATGAAATGACTTGGTTTGAATAATATTTTACTGACAATATATCTGTTTTTTTTTTTTTTTTTTTTTTTTTTTCATTCTCGAAAACATTCGAAAATATAACACATTGAAAATAACAACCTGTGGTACGGCAGAAATACTTATATTTCATTTATTAAGTACTAGATCGTTATGTATATAAAAGAACTATTAGATATGATTATAACAGAAATCGATATCTCTTGAGATCAGATATAAGATCAAATGACAATAAAAATATATATATGTCGTAGATTGCATTGAGTTAGGAACTGCTCTATTATAAACACACAATCAAACTCTCCATTTATTAATATTTTATTAATTTATATTGATAATATACTTTTATTAATCAAAGACCTGCTGCGAAGTAAGATCGCACTTTAAGGTATATAAATACGACATAGCTATCAGAAAATGCTACGCTACATTGTCTAAAGAATGGGCTGGGATTGTACAAGACAGACAAGTGAATAGTACCTTCCGATACAAATAGAATTAGATAGAGTAGAGACAAATAATGAATCCGACTGTATCATTCAGTTGTTTCCTACAGTGACTCTGATAGTTAAATGGTTAATACCTATGAGGCGACAGTGGAAAATCCGAAGAGTCAGACGTTTTTGATGGTTTTGTTGATAACATATTCTTTTCGGCGATACAAAATATATTTGATTTGAACTTTATTTATTGATGTATATTGCAATAAGAGATATATGATACAATCAATAAAAGGAAATCAGTACAAGTACTTAGTACATCCGTCTCTGTATGTGGATAGAAGAGCTATGGTACAGTATTGACAATTATACATATACCTTGTGCGGGGAAAAGGGAGAGAAATGGTGCAAGTTTTTTTTAAGGGAGGTAACGCTAGAGGGTATTTCTGTATTACTAGAACAAACGCTGTGAAAAGTGGTACCTTATACAATTAATACTGCAGGTACAATTTTAAATTGACACAAAAAATCTATAGATATGAGTTTTTACGCAATATGTAGAACAATATGATATAGCTGTATTAAAATGTATATCATATTTTTGTTATGATATCAAGAAAACTGTACAGTTGTTTATAAAATTTGAATATATTGATAAACATATACATGATTTCTGATCGATAATTGCTGATAACACAATAGTAAAGTTTTAGAACATACATGTTAACTATCAAAGCTGAACTTTGTATCTTTGCACAACTCTCTCTCTTATTTAATCACGTGGTTAGAATAATTTACA